CCCAAAAAAAAAAAAACATCAAAGACAAAAAAAAAGGCAGCAGACCCACACACAACGCCACCCCAGCAATGAGTTCGCTCCCCCCACCCCCAAAAAAATCACACACACAGAAAAGAAAAAAAATAATAAGACAAGAAAAAAGGTAGCAAACCCATACACAGTGCAACCGCTGCGATGGGTTCGCTAGAAATATGCAAGCCGCCCCCGGAACAGGTGGACAACCGTTCACCAAGTACGTGAACAGCAAACAACACGAACACCACTCGTTAAGATGGTATGAGAACCCAAGACACGCGGCTACCTTCTTGGACTCTCCATTCGTTAAACGCCACGGGTTAAACGTGTCGGGACCCACATCTTCAACCAGTCGATACCATCAACACCCACACGCCGACATGGAGAGAGGTCACACGCCTGGACCTCCAATGAACAGAAAAAAAGTGGACGAGGCGGACCAAAAGCAACCACATCACCGCCCGGTGGTTGTCGTCCCGCATCACCGCCCAGGCCGAACCTGACACACGTCGGCCGCGCGGCGGCGGGATGACTGAGTGGGGGCGGCATACCCACCCACCGACCTCCCGTCTGTGCCTCCCCGTGAAAGTGTGCCGCCGCCCCCCATGCCGCTGTTGTTGCGGCCGGTGGAAGTGCTTCCCCCTCCCGGTCGGCTGATGAGCTCGAAGAAGTTGCACTGTTGGTTCCTGTCCGCCTTGGCACACATCCAGGATATGGTCCCGTTCGCGGCACCGTCCTGTGTCGCGCGATCCGGGGCAGGTGGTATAGATGGGCATGTGTGGTTAGGATGGACATGTGCGAAGTGTTAAGCGAAATCACACCAATATCACACGCTGTCAGCGAACTCAAGGCTAGGATCAACGAAAGGAGACAACCCTACAAGCCGGGTACGTTTAGAAAACAAACATCTACTTACCGCTGTGACGGGTCCTACTCGTCGAGCCGCTTGACCGCATTGACAGTTAGGTGGCCTGGTCGACGGCGCCGATGGTGGGGGATCCGCCCCGCTGACACCCGGGAGAGAGCTGCTCGCACCCCCGCGGACCTCTTGCGCCTCTGAGATCCCTGTCTTTCCCTCCCTCGGCGCCGCGAAGCTATGTCCGTGCGAGGCCCCTCCAGCTGCGCTCATCCCAACCCCACCCTGCGCCATACCCACCGCCGCGCCCCCGCCCGCTGTCGTACCTGGCCATATCGTGCTGTGAACGCCGACGGAGGGCCCTGGCATGCCGGCAGGAGCAACGCCTGACGCAGCCCCATGGGCGAGTGGGAAAGCGCCGGTCGGGGCGTAGAACGGGCTCGGCTGCGGCTGCGGCTGGCGCTGCTGCCATTGCTGTTGGTGCTGCTGCTGCCTCTCTGCCTCGTATCGCCTCATACCTGCTGCGACAGCCGCTGCCACCCGTTCATCCACGATGGCGCAGACCCTGCCCTCCGTCATTGGAGGAGGTCCCTCGCCGTGCCCCCCCGATCCGGCCCTTGCCTTCGAGTGCAGCAAGTCCATGATCTGGTTCAACACGGGGTCTCCGCCCATCCCGCTGGAGAGGGGCTGAACTTTACGCCTGCGTTTCCCACCTCCTTTCCCGTCACGGGTGGACCTCCCACCCCTTCCGCATGCCAGATCTAGCGCCGCTTGGTCCATCACGTTCGTTTCTTCATCGTCATCGGAAGAGTCATCGACGCTGACCGCAGATCTCCTCCAGCTGCCCTGACGGGACGAGCATGAATCGGACTCGTCGGAGCCCCCAGCGCCATCGTTTAGGTCCAACGTCAAAGCCGGGGGCTCCGTACTAGACCGCGCTCGCTTCGGCGTCACCTGATCTTGGTCGCGGACCGCTCCACGTCCCTTCTCCTTGGCCTTGCCCTTCCCGTTCGTGGATTTCGCCGAAGCGCCCACTCCAGACGTGCTCTGCATCGAACGGGCATGGTGTTCCTTGGCCTTGTCGCGAGTACGATTAGCCGCCGCCGTATGCTCCTGCTTCGTGTTGTCCTTGGAGGCCTTCTCCACCAGTCCAGCCTCCCAGGCTATGCTCGCCTGCTCCAGCGCTTCGGCCTGGTTTAATGAAAGAGACGAACAAATGTCAACGCCGAAGGAAACTTGATGGCAGTTAGCAAAGACGAAACGATAACGAAGCGCGCGACGAGAATCGACTACCAATGGACGTCGAACACCGGGCAACATGTACTGGCCTGACGAACCGTACACACATAGGCTATACACCAAATACACCCCCCGCCCCCAAAAAAATAGAGAACGCACTGCACATGAAACCACAGACAAAGAAATGCAAAGAGCTGGAGGTGTGCGTCAAGATGCATAACCCCATGAGAAACGCATGGACCCATGCACAACATCGAGACCGACAGGGACAGAAGTTCAACAGATGCTCCTGATTTGAATTTTGCTTCTTTTTTTTCTTTATTTCTCTTTTTTTTTTTTAAAGAGGGGGGGGGATGAATGCGCACTAACCCCTTACGAAAAGGCGGGGGCCTGATTTGGTTGTGGTAGTCAAATACTGGACGGTTCCTGGAATCTCCTTGGAAGGCAAACTAAATAACCATATTCAAAGGCGAACAATAATGTGACAGCCTGACGTTCCCCGGGACGAGGGGATGGAGATTCGGATCTCACTGGAGGAAGCACGCACGTGTCGGACATGGAACCTCCACCGCAAAACTAACCATGGGTGTCTCCTGTCGTACATTGCAACCTCACCTCCGTTCCCTCGTCATCGCCATCGTCACCCTCGCCGGTGAGACTCTTCTTCTTCTCCTGCCTCTTGTTCCATGCCGTTTGGTGAGCGCTGAAGATGCTACTCAGCTTTTCCACGATGACCTCCCGCGACAGTCACTGTGACATCGGTGCGAAAGGGAAAAATCAAGGGGGGCGAGTCTCTCGAACGAAAATGCTATCGTTACTATATCATGTCCGCCACGGCTAACCGAACACTGTCTGAGATACACGGGGTGGGGGAGCTCTTATCTCTCATAACCCAGCGTTTTCATGCAAATACTTCGGCGATATGTAGGAACAACAGAAAGTAGTGTCGTTACGGCATTGTGAAATGGGCGCCGTTTGTGCGACTAGACGATAACGGGTTCACACACAGCTACATTTCAAAGTGGTTAGGTGATGGGTTGTTTCGCTCCCGTTTTCATAAATTCTGCATTCGTTCCTGGCGCGGAGGCCTTCTTCTTTACAGCCCACCCTCTTCTTTACATACCTTCTGCCCCCGCCCCCGCCCCCCACAACGCTTTATTTGGCNTTGTTAGGTGATGGGTTGTTTCGCAACCGTTTTCATAAATTCTGCATTCGTTCCTGGCACGGAGGCCTTCTTCTTTACAGCCCACCCTCTTCAATACATACCTTCTGCCACCGCCCCCGCCCCCCACAACGCTTTATTTGGCTTCATAGGTACCGTCAACAAAAAAAGGGTAAAACTTGTCATTGTCTCGGATGCTAAAGAATTATCCAACTCGCCGCATACGTGATCCTAAGCAAGTCCTAAGTTGGGTGAGTTAAGCTCGATGAAGATCGAACCGCAAACCAAAATACAAGAATAATATCCGCAGCGTCTACCCACCTCCATCTTCCTCCCCATGTCGACTGTGACCTTCTTCGTGACCAGTTCCACGTTGCCGTCCTTTTGCACTTCCTTGACCCGCATTGTCATCTCGACCTTCTTCGAGAGGGCCTGTGCGCATTTCCACCACTCCTCATCCTTAGCCTTCGTGGCCGAGTGCTTGGACGCTAAGTGCTTCGGTATGAGCCGCCACAGAAGCTCCCTCTCTCCCTGCTGAGTCCACCACCGCGGGCCTGTCTCTGATCAGGAATGCAAGGCAAACGAGAGTTGGGGTACAAGAGTTAGGGTGATGGACGTCATACATTAGCCACGAGTTGAAGGGGTTGGGTCGCGNGTCCACCACCGCGGGCCTGTCTCTGATCAGGAATGCAAGGCAAACGAGAGTTGGGGTACAAGAGTTAGGATGATGGACGTCGTACATTAGCCACGACTTGAAGGGGTTGGGTCGCCACTCACTTCACGGGAGGCGCCCCACCGAAGTACAGCACTGCTCTGTAATTTGTCTTGTACAGAAAATGGCATTGCGGATCCCACATCCTGCATTCGATTCGAAGCTAACATTTGCAAACAATTAATTGAAGTTTTCAGGCTGTTCGCTGCATTTTTTTTCTGCTGCATGCTGCATGCACATCTCAACCATTGCCGCCGCGAAGAAAACACAGTCAATCAAGCACAGCTACTGCAAACTTATTGGGAAACGGACACGACGTATGCCACAAGTGTACATGGTTGAGGGAACATAACGATGTGGAGGTGTCTAATGACGTACAGGATCCAAAACTTTCACCCTTCTTCACAGAGGGCGCATGAAAACAGAAATACGTGTGAACATATTTTCAGTCCTCTCACAAGTCCTCTCAGAAGGGCGCACAATCATAGTCACGACTATATCCTTCGAGCACACACCATTGCCAGATCTTTTAACCTCAGGCCCAGGGTTTCTCCTCTCCGGCTCCTTCCCCTTGCCGCCTCCGCCCTCACTACTACCCCCGGTGACCGGCGAGGACTCTCCCTCCGCCTCATCACTGTCGCCGCTGCCTTGGCTTGAGCTGACGAGAAGCGGTGACCCATAGGAACCGCCGCCGCCGCCGCCGTCCTTCCCGCCGGCAGCACGGCTGAAACGCTGGGGAACAGGCTTAACGTACTTCGTCTCGTACCCCTCTACGTCGGGTGCACTCGTTCGCTTCGGGGTGCGCGGGGACGTCCTGCGGCTAGCTGATGACGCGACCCCCCCGGTCTGCGGCGAGTTGAGACCACTCGCAGGTGACGAGGTAGGCGATAAGCTCGCAACATCTACCTTCGTACCACGGCGGTCGCGGATTTGAGGCGACGAACGCTTCGGCTGACGCACCCTCGGCTTCTCCGGGGTGGTATGGACACTGAACATGTCCGGGTCCTAGTCCGTCTCGCACAAGAGAGTCGAGTTGTTATCCGTGCTCAGGTGAGTCAAGTCTAACACGCCGTTGCTGTTGTTGCCCATGCAACCAGAATGAACTCCGTGACCGCCACACTTGGCGTGCCCGCGAAAGCTAAATCAGCAATACACAGCGCCCGCCTCGCTCTAGACGCGTACGCGGCGGGGCGCAGGGTTCCTGCGCCGCCGCGAGCACGAGTACTCTGTACTCACGACCAAGGCACTCCTTGTGATACGCGCTTTGATCTCNGAGAGTCGAGTTGTTATCCGTGCTCAGGTGAGTCAAGTCTAACACGCCGTTGCTGTTGTTGCCCATGCAACCAGAATGAACTCCGTGACCGCCACACTTGGCGTGCCCGCGAAAGCTAAATCAGCAATACACAGCGCCCGCCTCGCTCTAGACGCGTACGCGGCGGGGCGCAGGGTTCCTGCGCCGCCGCGAGCACGAGTACTCTGTACTCACGACCAAGGCACTCCTTGTGATACGCGCTTTGATCTCGTTCAATCAAGAGGACGTGACGACTTCCAGGTGCAAAAAACACCACTCCTCGAGAAGAAATCACTCTCCCAGCGGAACCCACCGAATGACACGTCCACACCCACTGATGCACAAGACTCCCAGGTGCCTCGCCACTGGGTGTTGCGCGCAACTGCTGTAGGAACGACTCGATCTCGCTATGTACCGCTTCGCCTCCCGAACACTAAACAGGTGAAATACAGATGGGCTTTTTCACCAGCTCTGAAAAAAAAAACACCAGCTCATTTTCACCTGTTCAGAGCGGCGCAATAGCCGAACTGGTGTTTTTTTGGGCCGGACTGGTGAAAATCGCTGAACTGGTCGTTTTTGAGTCAGCGGGGAAACCCAGAATAATGACACAATGAATCCATCTCTATCTAAGAAACGAGTCCAAGACAGATTGGCAATGAATCCAGTCAGTGAAGGCTACCTGTGTTCCCATGATTTCCCGAGCAGCATACAGCTACATCTCCCCCGTGTGTAACGGGGTCATCAAGACAGTGCATTATTAGTAGCCGTTTTGTGCATCTATCTGCATGTTATGCTGGGAATGTACGGAAGGAATGTGTTGGGTAGTTGGTTTGTCGGGTGTGTTGTCGGTGGCACCGTTTCAAGTTTGAGGTGTGTGTGTATGGTATCATTACTGTTATACGGCGTAGAGGGGCACGGGAGAACATTTTTACTCCTTCCGTGTTGTGCTGACGTGGTTATGTATTGATTGGTGCAGCCAGCGTGTCATATTTGGATGGGTATGGCGTGGGTCGGATGCATGTAGGGTGTATCGACGTACTATGTAATATGTAGTTTGTCGGTATCATGGATCGGTAGTGGGTTGATCATTTGGTGTATGTACACGGCAGGTCAGTGATGTGAAGAAGGCAGCAGCAGTAAGCAATGGGTACGGAGAGTACTGTGGAAAGTAGGTCTGTGTAACTCTATGGTGTTCCAACTGTTACTTCCTGTTTCTCGTGGTGTCCTCAGCAGTGGCCGTGCGGACGTAGCGTCGCAACGAAGCGGGCGTTGTAGGAAGGTGTCAGCAGGTGAACGGCAGCAGGTGACGGGACATGGCTGCATGTGTGGCGTGAACAACTTCTGCTGGAGTCCATCACCAATCATAGGGAGACACAAGTGCAGTAGATTGTACACGCCTGTGGTCGGAATTGTTGCAGCCCGGGGTCAGCGACAAGCAGCAGAGAGGAGCGCGCAGTGCGTTTCTACAGCTGTATAACCCGTCCTCCTCCAGACCTAACGGAGATGGTTACTTTAGCACAACGGCTGGATCTGAAATGCCGGCTAGCTCCAAGAACCAAGAGAGGTGGGGGGAGTAGCGAAAACGAACGACTGCGAGTGTGCTCCTCAGCAGCTGTTTTCGGCTGGTCCTTGAAGGAAGGGTAGATTGCTGATTCGGCGAAATAGCGAGATATCCAAAATGCCGATGGTTTTCACCTGGGTACATGGGAATTGTAGGGGAAAAGTGCTCATAAATTCTGGCATCATCATCCTGTTTGCAAGGGACACGTTTCATTTTCAGTGTTCCCCCTTGCGGTTCTGACGGTCAAATATGCGGTCACCCACACATTTTACCATCGCTACAGAACTGTATTGTGCCCGAAATGAAATGGATATTGTCATATCATGGTACCATGAGGTTAATGAATTTCGGTACATTCCAGTTTCATACGACAAATAGTTTTCGGCACATCTCAGTTTCATACGGCAAACAATTAGCCGTGGAAAGCTTTGGCCGCCTTGGAGAGGAGGGTTACGAGTTCATCGATGAACTTGCGACACATGCCGTGGGAGGAAGGGACGGAGGAACGATGGCTCTGAAAGGAGTCTTCAAGGAACGACTTCTTCAGATCGTTTCGGTGGCTACACAGACAGGTGGCCATATTTCGGCGAGTGCAGAGGTACAAGCTCGCATTGCGCGTGCGTCAAGACGCCGAAAACAGGCGAACAAGATCGACCTCGAACCAGTCAACGCCAATGATATGGGGATGGAGTGTAGACGCATCGCAGAACGCGTTTTCGTTTGAAGTTGGCGTCTTGTTTGAGAGTAGATGTGACAGATTTGCGTAGAATAGGGTAAGATGTTATCATCATGAACGGAGAAGAAAGGGCTTTTCCAACACGGAGATGTAGCATGGATCAAAGCATTTGTTGGATTTCAGCTTTTACAAGAGGACATCAACGCAGTAGTATTTTAGCAAGCTTACGAACGCATGTAGGATACCATGAGGATTGTCATTGGTTTTACTTCAAATTGAAGAAGAGATATTTTTACGATGTAAGTGACAGTAGAAATAAGTCCTACATACGTTGTTGTACTTCGTGAGTCCGTGTTTCTACCCCGATATGCATATGGCATTCGCCATGCGGTAGGGCATGGAATGTCTACAAATTCTAGTAGAAGTGCGTCTTGCTCGCACACCGCAAGAAAAAAAAACGTACTGCTGTAGACTACGTTCGGTATGAGCGATTTCAGAACTAAGCGGAACACTAGCGGGTTGACCTCTACTTCAGCTGAGAAAAAGCAGGTGGCCGTGCAGGAGGAGTGTCGGGCATTTTCGAATAATCTGTTGCCGAGGGGGGTGTCCTTCGCGAACAATCGAAAGTAGTGTTCGAGCTATAATACACAGCGAAAGCTCTCTCTGAAGCAAACGGGGGCCAGGTTTGTGTTTGTGTTTGTGTTTGTGTTCGTGTTTGTGTTTGTGTTTGTGTGGGTGTACGGAGGAAAGGATCGGCAGCAGCAGCAGCAGCAGCAGCAGTGGTGGGGGTCGCAGCAGCAGCAGCCTCGTGGCGTGGATACGGTCTCAGTTGGTGGGGCGGGATTCGTGGTATCCGGGAGAGTGCAGCAACTCGTCAGAACTTCGGTCAGCTCGTCGCATTCGCTCCAGCCGCCTCAACTGCAAGGTTGACTACGAGATCTCGCTCATTTGCGCGGCTACAGCAGCAGTAGCAGCGCTCGCGGGGGATAGGGGTCATCGCGAGAGTGTCGTGGCAGCGGCGGAACGAGCAACGAGGTTCGTCGAGGTGGTCGGCTGACGTCGGAGCTCGAGAGGCGCGCGTGCTCGTCGGACGACGCTTGCACCAAACGGGGGCCAGGTTTTGTGTTATTTATGGTCCGGTTTTCGTTTTGTCGCCAAACATCGACGGTCGAGGACGTCGTCAACAACGACGGCCACCCGGTCGATCGCCGAATGACGATACCGGCGATTCCCCGCGTCAGTAACGCCGCCGCTCCGTTAGCATCGCCGTGAACACGGCGAGCGAGTCGGGACAGCGAGGAACGTGGGACACCGCCAGAGAGACACCCCGTACAGTGGAAAGGAACAACCGCACGTCGTCGGGGCAGGACGCGCGCGCTCGCGCTCCATCGGTTGGGGCCCCACGACGTTTGCCGGGCTCTCGGTCGCAGGGACACGGCATCGCAATGACTATGCCGGCTTGGCTGGTCGCATGGGGACTCGGCGGTACCAACACCAATAGCCAGTTCGGCGGGCTGCAGCGGCACGCCGTATCCGCGACAAGCGGAAGCGTGGAGGGCGGCAGCGGGCGGCGAGGCGGCGAGGCGGCGAGGCGGCGAGGCGGGGGCGAACAGCCCCTCCGGTTTGCGGGGCTTGGTTATGGCACCCGCCGAGAGGTCATTACCTCCGAGCTCTCGATCGGCGGGGAGGGGCCTGCATCGGACTGTCCCGGCGTGGCAGCTTGCCGGACGTGCAAATAACGGAAGCTGCGCTACCGAGAGGTCTTTGCCTCAGGGCTCTCAGTCGGCAGGGCGGGGCCTACATCGGACTGTTCCAGCGTGGCAGCTTGCCACGCGAGAGGACGACGGATGTCGAGCACTTAGCCGGGTGGAGCGGTTGCAACAGGAGTCGGCATTAGAGACGGCCGACAGGGCCGGAAACGTNAGTCGGCATTAGAGACGGCCGATAGGGCCGGAAACGTCGGCAGGGGCACAGCAGGGGAAGACACAGGGGCTTCTACGCGACAGTTGGCCAGCGGACCACACATGTCGAGCGCATCCCCGCCGCGCATGACAGGATCAAGCCGACGACGCTCAGGGTCCTCCGGGTCCGCGTCCTCGCAGCCCCGGTCGCGACCTCGACATCTCTCGCCTTCACCTCGACGCGCTGAGGGTACAGCCGAACTGTCAGGTATTCTCCGGAGGAGGAGGAGGTCAGCGTCGCTCGAGGGGGGTGTTTCTGACCGACCTCGGCAGCGGCCTCGAGTGTCCTTTTCTCCGAGCACGCGTATTTCGCCGCAGCGGCCTCGACACGGAATTGCTTTGGGTCGCCGAAA